ATGCAGATTACTGCAAGTCATTTTAATACTAATACCAAATGTGATTATGATTGCTTGCTTTGTTCCAGTGTCCCACCAGACCAGTCAGGAATTTCCCCACCTGACACTGGCATTGTGTATTCTGTATATTGAAAAAGCAGCCCTGCTCCCCAGCAGCCTGCAGAAATTCTAGGAAGCAGCAGGTGCATCCCCAAGAAACAGGGGAAAACACTGAGATAATTGAAACTGTAGAATACCTGTAAAATAGTCGGGGCTGTGTGATGGTGGTTGCTTGTGGTTGACTAACCCAGCTCGTGGACTGGATGGACTAACTCTGCTTCATGGATATCCTATCCCCATGTGGAGGAGGCAATCTGCTCACCTTTTTCCCCTGATTAATTCTTCTTTGAGCTGTTTTCATATTGCCAGGACTCTCTGATTTTGGGACTTGCAATAGGCAATGCAGATAACAGGCAGGAGCATCTCTCTCCTTGATGAAAAAAATTTTGCACAGAGTTACAAAAATGCTGGTATCAAGTTTATTTTTGAGCATATACAATTTTAAATTACCAAGGCTAAAAACCTCTCTAACACTTATCATCCTATCTGAAAAAAAAGACAGGAGAAGCCAGAGGTTATTGGTTCATTCTAATGTTCCTTTCCTACAAGCGTTTTTGCTTGCATGTAGTGTACTTTTACTGCAGTATGTAACAAAACAAATTTTCAAACCCCTGTCCAATAGGTTTTGCATTATTTCTCATAGGCTAGTGCTCTCCCACTGACTCCAAATACTGCTTTGAAGGCTAGAAGATAATATAAGCTATTTTATGAACTTGCCTTATAAAGTACATACTCAAAAATTTGCTGTGGATTTTCAATTAAACAACAAAAAATGTTCAAAAAATAAGAATATTCTAAGTATGAAACAACTGTACACACATATCTCATCCCAAGCAACTTTGGGATGGTCTCCATCTGAAAGAGCTTATATCATACAACAGCAAGAGATGTGGAAGGAGAACACCTTGAAAAAATAAATTTAAAAAAGAAGCCATTTCAATTATCTGGGGGAAATACTGCACTGCTCTTCCCTTCCAGACAAATAGTTTGGGAAATTTTCCTGCTTATCTTCAGTGTGGTTTTGTCCACAAATAACACACACAATTTTTTGCAGTTACTTGCTGTTTTCTTGTATCAGCAAATCAAAAGTGAAGGCAAATAACATGGCTGAATAGCTCCTAATTCTTTCTAAACCATCTGAGAAGTCAAGCACAGAGCATCTAAAAGAAAGTGAGTGACATCTGCCCCTGAGCGTGGTTCATAACCTCCGGGCGTGACCATCACAGGCTTCCTGCAATATGTCACAACTGACCCGGGAGCAATTCACATTTTGTCTCCTCTACTTTCAAGTGTTTTACCAGATGTCAGTTAAAAATACATATATTTATAAAGTGGTTAGTGTAATTAATGCCTCAAAAAAAAAATTCTTTTGATGGGGAATGACAGTAAGAACTGGAGTAAGATAAACTAGTAGTTCCTTTCATTATGTTTTGTTTTCTTTTTTGTGAAAAACTTGTTCATCTGAAAACATTAATTCCTTTTACCTTTCAATCATCAGATTTCATGGCTGTGTATTACTTTTGTAATGTTCCCAGCAATGTGTGTGTCTGCTATAATTAATTTTGAAAGAAGAGCAGACATGCAAATTACCATTCCCTCTCAGCGGATTATCTAGACCCAGACTTGCTACACAATGAAAAGCAAAGTTGCCTCTGATTGTACCAAATGTCAAATAAGCTGGATGACTCTAATACACAATGCAGATTCACTGTGTTTGATGTAGGTTTGTAAGGAATTAAAGCATATATTTCCTCAGTGAAGATAATTTCTCATGGTTCATTCTCAATGCTGCTCTTTTCCTGCACATTTGTTATCAAATTATCAGTAACTATACCAGAGCCTCCATCATTAATCGTATCAGAATTTCTACTGCCATGGGAAACAAGCAAACAAGCAAAGTATATGAGGCTAACATTAGGAAAAAAAACCACCCCAACCACTCACCCCTCTGAACCATCGGCCAGACTTGGAGTGATGCTCTTAGTACTTTCCCAGCTATTAAATAAGATGAAGCTATGAATTCCAATTTAAGCAATAAAGACTCAGGAAACCTTGGCATTTAGTATAATATACTGTGAAACATATGTAGAAAATGCATATCAGCTCTTGTTTTTATTAATGTAATAAATTAGTTAATTAAAAATAGTTAAATAAGCTATTATTTGTAGCTTAAAAATGGACTTTTAGGCTAGACTACTGTTTGGACTGGAAATCATTCTGCTAGCAGGCTGTAAAGTAAGATAGCAATGACCATTCTGTACTTCTGTTACTCTGCCCGTGAAATTGTAAAGGAAAGTTCCTGGGGAAAACCTGAAACCTATGCAAAATGTCTCTTATATTTTTATATATTTTTGTATTTTTTATATATACTGCGCTAAGAATCCTTTCCATATTTATCCTTTTTATCTGGTATTCAGATTGCACTTATAACAAGCAAGGGCCTTCTCTCTGATTTTCTTTTGTTGGATGTCTACACAAGAAACTGCAGGTCTGTGTTTGGAACCCAGAGACGTTACAGTATTTCAGATAAGTACACCAAGTACTTTAGGTTGTCTTTTGAATTGCTTTTGGACCTTGAGACTGCTGAGGGCTGAGATATATTAACTTGGCTACACATCTCCTGGGTGCCCAGCCAGCCTGGGATGGAACATATTCAAGTGGATAAACTAAAACTGATGGCAGTACTGAGGTACCTTGCCCTGACAAGGACCAGATAAAGGTTATCATCTTATGCACAAACAACCAACTAACCAACCAAACCAAATGTATGCTTTAAAATGGAGAGGAGAGGAGAGGAGAGGAGAGGAGAGGAGAGGAGAGGAGAGGAGAGGAGAGGAAGCAGGGAAAAAGAAAAGGAAAGTAGTAAAGGAGATGGGAAAGGTAGAAGGAGAATGAGGGAAAGAAAAATGAGAAATGAGTAGAGGGACAGGAGAAAAAAACATAGCTCAAAAAAACTCTTTGCAAATACACTCTTTGCAATTCCTAATAATTATTTATTTTCACTACAGTTTAAGGATAAGTGCACAACATCATGTAGACAGTTATACAAGTAAGGTGGGAGGAGAGCCTGCCAGCTGTGCTCAGTAGTCAATGCAAACACAGAGTAAGAAATTCACTTGGACAGCCAGTAAACCAGACCATTAGGGAAGCTGCCTTTTGCAACAACTCCACTTCTGGGAACATAAAAATCTATGACAATTAAAAATAAAATAAAAGCTTCCTTAAAGCTCCAAAAGCTTTTTTTCAGCAAGAAGAATCTGTAGTATAGGTAAGGATAGATAACTTGGCAAATTAGTTTGCTGTGAGGGATTCAACCTGACATCGTACAACTGGTTCTTAACACATAGAGCAAATTAAGAGTACATTGTTAGCTGCCATGGAACAACACCTTCAGAAGCTTTTCATCCAACAACATATTTCTTGTTTTCCAGGATTTGGCCTCACCTACAACACATTTTGCTAAGAGATATTTGAAAACTGTGAATGTGATGATAGCCCAATCACTCAAAACTTAAGCAATGAAAATATGGCAAAAAAAAAGGGCTGTTGTATAAAGAAGATAGCTAAATAGAATGGTTTAGTTTGACAGAAATAGAAAATATGACTCAGATAGGAAAAAGAGTTCTTTGCCCTTTAAAAAATCAGTCCTGTTCTTCCTCTCTTTCTTACACAGGAGTCTTTCAGGGAGAGTCTGGTGATGCTGCATTATTGATGTGATACAGGTCTCCAGTGGAAACAGATGTGATATGTTTGATTTCCTCTGATAGCCTGGGCTGAACACAAAGCAAATTATTAAGTGTCAGAAGACTTGGGTTCAAAGCACATATTTAAAGGAAGCTCTTAAATAATAAATCTTAAATTTCAAGCCTGTTGCATAACTAAAAGTTATATATGTACTAAAAAAATGAGTCCCAAATGATTTTGCTGAGACAAACTGCAAATGACATTAAAATGCATATGTGCAGCTTTAGGATTTGTTTGGTCTCAAACCAGGAACTGATGGTTGGAGGGAAAGATGCAAAATAGCATGGTCTGGGTGAATGTAGAATTGCAGAATTGTTGAGGCTGGAATACATGCAATTTAACTGAATATGCATAATCTCTCTGACAATTTTCCCAATCTGTGTTGGAACTCTTATTTTTAAAATAATTCGAAAAATATATTCATTATTTCCTTTGCTTTCTGCCAGGATGTTTTATCCACAGTCTTCTACACAAGAGGTCATGTAGAGGTAGAAGAAAACTGGTTTTGCTCAGGCTAGGTAAAACTCCAGCTTCAAGAGAACTCTAAGGCTACTGCACAAAACCCCAGGTTTTCAGTCTATCCACCCCAGCAAATCCTCCCATGTACATTCAGGAGCAACCCCAAGCCACAGGATGAGTTTTTTGTATTTACTGAAAAACCTGCCCAAGATTTGCTTTTCTAGATCGTGGTGAACCTCTAACAAGACTTGACTAAAGCAATCAGCAGCATTCTCCTCCCAGGAATAAGTGCAGCAGAGCAACGGGACACCTTAGATTACATCTCACTAAGGTGAAAGCCTCAAATTAATCACTTTTCAGAAAGTAGCTCAAAAGAGAACACTGTTTCCCATTCTCTGCTGAAACTGAGAAGATTCAGGGTGACACCGTTGATGGATCTCAGCTGCCACTTTTTTCTTCAACCTCTTGCTTCATCTTTTCACCTGCTTCTTGACTTTCTCCATAAGCATCCTGGCAAACTTAGCGGGGAAGAAAACCCCAAAGGTGAGGCGGCTGAAGAAGAGGCTGCCAGGACGGGAGTGGCGGAAAGGAGCCCGGGGGTTGTCGCGGCGATCGGGGCGGGGTCTGTGCGGGCGGGGCCGCCGGGGTGCGGGGCGAGGCGGCGGCGGGCGGCCGCAGGTGCGCAGGTGGCGGGGGCGGCCCCGCCGCCCGTCCGCCCGGGGCCGTGAGCGGCGGCGGGGCGGGGATGCTCGCTCGGGCTGGAAAGTTTCTTCCCCACGGCGGCTCGCCCGCTTCCCGCACGGACTTCTCCCCGGCCCTCCTCGGTAAGTGACCGCGGCATCCCCGTCCTGAGCGGGGGCTCCGTCCGCCGGCGGCCCCCGACCGGCGCGCCCGGGGCGGCCGGCGGCGGAGCTCGGCGCGGTGCCGCGGCGGCGGGAGCTGCGCCGCCGGACCGGCCCGAGCCAGCGGCGCCCCAGCGGCTGGTACCGCGCGTCCCGCCGGCCGGAGCCCGTGAGTCCCGCGTGCGAACCCGGGGAAGGAGTTAAGCCGGCTCCCGTTAGTAGTGTTACAGCGGTGTTTGGGCTTTGCCGGGCAAGGTCGCGGTGCTTGCGGGTCCGGCTGCCGCGGGTGGATGGAGGGTCTCAGTCCGTTCGTGCGGGATGTCGCTCCAGCCCCCGCGGCTCCCGTCCGGGTGGTTTCATGGCACTGCGGCCGCTGGCGATCGCCGGCGGCCCGGCCGTGCCCTCCTTCGCCTGCCGAGCGCTGCTCTCGCCCATCGCCGAAAGTAAGTGACAGGCGATGCCGGACTCGGAGCGTTCCTCGGAGCTGATGACCATCTGCTATCGCCGTGGAGAGGAGACGGGCAGCTGGCTAGTGGGGCAGCAGAAAATGAGATCAAATAATCGGCAATTATAGCAAAGCATGCCCCGAAAATTGCACTTTTGCATCAACAAAATATGCTCTTTTTTTCTTTTTTTTTTCTTTTTTTTCTTTTATTTTTTTTTTTTTATTTTTAATAAATATTCAGCCACAGGAAAGAGAAATCTCTGCTCTTTGTTTTGAGCGTGCAGTACCTCGGAGAGTAATTTAACAACGTCCTTGCTGACAACACCCATTTTTTTTTTTCCGGGGAAAATACAAACAGAGTAAATGGGACACAATGTTACTGCATATGTGGCAATTCTGGCATTTGAACAGAAAAGACATGATATTTAAAGGCTGAACAGCTCAAAGAGGAGAAAGGGGGTTTTTTTTAGGTGCTTACTTAATCGCCTTTTGGTGCAATTAATTGAACTTTGTGAGTCGTATTATATTCAGTGATGTCATCTTTTGCCCCGTCAAAGAAAAAATAATAGGATGCTCAGAAAGAGAAAAGGGGGAGGGGATCCTGCTTCTCAGTAGCATGAAGAAATAGGTTCCAAAAAGAATTGCATAGTGCAGAAATGCTCCTACACACTGTGTTGTTTAGCTCAGATCACGGGAACAGAGAGGAGTTCTGATGGTCCAGTAAGACAAAAAGCCACAAATGCTCAGTGTTTAGTCCTCTGCCAGTTTTCCTGCAAGCACTCATTAGGGTTTCCCCAGGTGACTCATGGAGTTTCACTTCTCTAATAGGATTTGACCTTCCATCTCTTACCTGCCAGCCATCTGCCCTTTCTGAGGGCAGGGGGGGAGGGGGTTGAATTTGTCAGTGTTACATAACAGTTACCTGGAACATTACACATGTTCCCAAACTAGGGATGCCTCTGGACCGCAGGCAAGAGATGAATTTCTAATATTGCAGATCAAGTGCAAATGGTTAGGAGAAAACTTTTCACAAGGCACCACTTTCCAGTGTTTAAACGTTTCTTTTGTGCATTTCACAGTAATTCCTTCCCCACTCATTTAAGCAAGACACGTAATATGTTTAACCCTCCCTCCAGTGAAGTGTAAGTAGAGTAATGAAACAAATATACTGCCTTCCTGCTTTTATTTCTCCCGTCCCCTCAAATCCTGCATGGCATCACTAACTACAGTTAGTGTGCACTGTAACCCCAGAACATATTAGGGAGTGGGGCTTGGCATCCTCTGAACTCTGGTGATTTGCAAACCCCTTCTGAAATGAGTGAGATCTTTTTTTGTTCACTTTCGTGGATACTACTAGGTTTGTCGTTTACCTGGAGTATAAAGTAATTAATTAGCTCTTTGGCAGGAGTATAGTGAGACACACGGCTGCTTTGATGCTGTTGATCTGCCTGTTTCTTTCTCACACACAGGAGCTGTGTGGGCAAGGGAGATCTGCCTGTTGGTGTCAACCTCCATCCCACTTGTTCAGGGTTTTAGTTACCAGGACTTTGAGGCGGAAAAGCAAGCAGAGACATCTCTTGTGCTGCAGGTCTGTCTTTGGTTCTCATCCTCCTCTCTTATCTCTTTTACTGCAGGAGCTGGAGTGGCCGTGGGGGGCAGTGTGCTGGTAGTCAGCCATGATTGCCACTGGAGGCCTCCTGAGGATCTCGGCCAGGAAACAGGACCCCTTGAAACCCCAGAGCCAACTCCCCAAACGTAAACGCAAGGCCAAAAAGAAGCGCAAGAATGACGTGGTGGTGGTGAAAGGCAAGCTCAAGCTGTGCTCCCTCTCGGGGTTCATTGCCCTCTGTGGCATCCTGGTACTGCTGGTGGGCATCGCCTTGGCTGTGGTGGGCTACTGGCCAAAGCCCAGCCAGGTGTACAGAGAAAGCAGCTTTGGCAAGGGCCGGCACCCAGCACCACAGGGTGGCACCCACACGAACCGCTCCCAGAGCCAGGGAAGGGTGCAAGCAGGGATCCACCTGGAGTCACCCCCTGCAGCCAACACCTCCACCACTGCTACCCCTGGTGGGTCCGCCCCTACTTCCTCATCCCCCCAGGCCTCAGTGGGTTTCCTTTTCCATCTTTTCTCGAGCTACTTGCATTCGGACAAACTGAAGGTGCTGGGCCCTTTGATCATGGGTATCGGCATCTTCCTCTTCATCTGCGCCAATGCTGTGTTGCACGAAAACCGTGACAAGAAGACCAAGATCATCAACCTGCGTGACCTCTACTCCACCGTCATTGATGCCCACAGCCTGCGGGCCAAGGATGGAGGCACCCCGGCCTCAGCCCCTCTCAATGGCTTTGTCAACTACATGCAGTCCCGAGGCCTGGAGATAAAGCCTGGTGGGGAAGGCCTGGGCGCTGCAGCCATGCTGGCTAAGAGCTCCTGGCCACCAGGACTGGGTGTCTCCCTTTCCCCGCCGGATCTGGTGTCCTCACCGCAGCGTTCCTCCTTCTGCAGCCCACCACAGCCACCCAGCCTGGCTGAGGCTGTGTACAGCATCTGCCGGGAGCGTGCTGCCCTTGCTGGCCGCCCTGTCACCAGCCCACCCTGCAGCCCACCGGGGAGCTGTGAGCGGTGCAGCACAGCCAGCTCCATCGTCGGCTCTTCACTGAGCACCTTCACCCTCCTGCCCTTGGGGCCAAGCAGTGGAGGGGGAGGCTGGCAGAGACCAGCTGGTGAGCGGGGAGCCCAGGAGATCCCACGGGGGGAGTTTGAACTGAGCCTAACCGACCTCAGCAGCAGCCACATCAAGGGAGGCTGTGGGACAAGGAGCCACAAGCTGGTTCTCAGGCGGCAGAGCACCAGCTGCCTGCCAGATGCCAGGCGTCCCCCTTCCCCTGAGCCACCTCGGTCACCAGCTGTAAGGAAGGTCCTGGAATCCAGCCTCTTGGTAAAGGCATCTCCTAGCTACTCTGAATCTCTAGATCTGGGGGGATCACCCCTTTCAGCTCCTCCTGCCATCACCAGGACGGACTCCCAGAGCTCCCAGTCTGAGCCTTCCAGCAGCAATAAGGGCTACAGCCACTTGGAGGAGGCAGGCACCTCCTTGGAGTCAGTTGCCAACACCACAGCCAGTAAAATTCAGGACTGTGAGGAGGAACCAGATCAGATGGACCACCTCAAGGCTACCAGCAGAGAACAAACAGAGGAGCAATCCCAGCAAACTCAAAGACAGTACACAAATAAAGAGAAACTCTTTATGATTTCTAGGTCACATGCTGCATTAGGGCTGGAGGATGGGGAACTGGAGAGTACGGGCATCTAAATAAAACAGAGACAGCAAGAGGACACCTTGCATCGCGCCACACCTTCCCCGCTTCTTCATCTTCTTGTGGACTAGGAAACCAATCAATATCCAAAGAGCTGCACTATGTTACCCTTGAAAATTGAATTCCATAGATCCTGTAGATGACTTCAGGAAGAAAAAAGAGAATCCTTTCTGTCTATTCGTGATTGTATGTTTCATGCAAGCCAAATTGTATTAAATATCCACAGTCCAGCAAGTTCTTTGGATCAGATTAATACAATTTTGGATGGTATAGCTGTGCACTTTACTGTTTTGATTTTTAAGTGCCCCTTCTTCTCGTCTGATTTCTTTCTTGCTGATTTGCCACTAACTGCTTGAAAGCTGCAGGCACCTTTTTAAGCTCAAAAGCAACGTGGTCTTCAGAAAGAAAGCCGAGCTCTCTCTTTGTTTTGGTTCAATTACTAAAACGTTTGCAAGGCCTTAAGGATGACGTACCTTGACAAAGAATGAGTTTGTTTAAATTCTGGAAAAAAATGACAGTTTAGAAGAGACTGGAGCAGAACAGAGCTCTGATGATTTAGTTAAAACCATTACATTCCTGAATCCAAAATACATATTACTACATGATACTTTATCAAAGTATTATTACACATGTATTGACTAACAGCATTAAAAGATGTTTTTTAATAAAATATTTACAAACAAAACCTACAAAAATTTCTTTATTTTGGTAAGTAATTACAGAGATCAGAAACTGTTTTGTTTTATACTGTGAAAGATTGTAGAAATGCTGTGAAGCCAAAGGTTTGCTTTATACTTTTAAGGAGGTAATTAATAATTTATGTGTAATTTTCAAATAAATACTGGTTCAGTCCTTGAGAAACCACACTGTAATTCAACTAGCAGATTCTGTCTCCATTTCTGACAGTGCTCTGTGACAGACAGCCTAAGAAATGTGACATTTTGACATGTTAAGGGGAAAAAAATTTAAACGTTTGATCTTCTATTCATATTAGGGTTTTTTTTGTGAGATTAATCTTGAACTGCATCATCTTCCTTCTGGATTTTTCAGTTCCCTTATAACTGTTGCATTAAGCCTTTCTGCTGTTGCGGTTCCTATTTGTGAATGCATGAGCATAAGCTTAATTTTAAAGCATAATGATAACCCTATCAGTCTCGTAGCAGTTGGCTGTGCTGAAGTCAGCAGCAGTTTCTCACTGAGTTCAGCATGATGAGGATTTCTTCCTGCATGAGAAAAGCATCAGGTTTCCTGAAGCCTGGAGAATACCTTGTCTGTAGGCAGAGTTTGGTAAACTGATGAGCTGTTTCATTTTCGTAGCTGCAGCATGGCAGCCACTCGTGTTTTGTCAAAACAGCTTTATGCACTCAGTAGATTTTGTCAATACTTCTGATTTTAAATATGGATGTGGCATTTCTCTACTATGGGAAGAGAAATCTACATTAAACAAACACAATGTGTAGGCAGACAAAAATCTTTCTGTTGCAATTAAAATTTTTCTTGTGTTTCCATGTTTTAAAGTGCTCAGCTACATATTTACTTACATTACAGTAGATTGCAACATGGACTATAACTATCACTAAATACAGTTGCATTTAATAAGCCTGCAAAATTCTGCAATAAATAAAACTAATTTAAGAGAAAAAAAGAAAAGAATTATTTGCCATGTAAGACTGTTGAAACTGGAGAAGCAGAAGGTGCTTGTGCTTGTTCTCTTGAGCAAGGTGGCAATATCTTTCCTCCTGTCAGTGGTAGCCAGTGCCCTGACAGTATGACTGTATCACTGTGGTGTTTTTTGCTATTAAACTGTATCACACAGCTGTCAAAAATCCATTGTAAAACTGCCTGGATTGGCATGGGGTTGAATTAGGCACCACAGGATGTGGTGAGCAGGTGGCTCAGCTGGTGCTGGCGAACGCATGGATCTTTCCTGTCAGTTCCCCATGGGCATGTGCTTCTGCTCCTTCTCCTGTGACTTCCAGCAAGATTTATGCAATACATGTGAGCAGAGATACCTAAGATACCTGATACTGATGCAGATTCTAGTTATTGACAGGGGCTGAAGACATCTTGTTTGATATTTTTTACACTAAAACCTTCCATGGAGGTGAAAGGAAAAGGCAAGTTATGTGCTACTTACCAGGGCATGGAATCCTCATGAAGATGTGACAGGAGTTTGTTTTATTCTGAGAGGGGGAACCATGCTTCTTCAAATATTCTCTTCTTTCTTCTGTCATCTGTTAAATATTTCTTCTGTCATCTGAAGTGTGCTCTGGAAAAAAAAAAAAAAAGAAAAAAAAAACCCACAAAAACCAGCTTTAAAAAGCCCTTGGTTACTCCTTAGATTGATTTAAATCAAAGCAGGCCAGTAATTATTCTGATGATTAATTTACTGCAAAGTCTTTTGAATGACAAAATTATACCGGTTTGTGTTTAATAAGTAAAATTATAGCTTGTTCCTCTGTTGTCAAAAAAGATGTGAAACATGAACTTTCATCAGTGGAGCTGGATTTTTTAATAACAGCAGCAAGAATTGATTTTCTAGCATATAAATTACTAAGCAAAACAAGCTGCCTCTCTGTCTTTGCAAGTCATTATTTTTTGCAGATTTATTACTTAAAACTATTTGTTGAGCAATTTGTGCAGAGCTGGAGTTGGAGTCAGAAAGCTTTGTTTTAAATTCAAGCTGGGCGAGTTAGTCCAACACCCTGATGCTGGACAAGGACTGAGAGATTCAGTCCCTGTGCACCATCTGTGACTGATGTTAGCACAAGCCGCTGGTAAAGAGCTGAGCCTTTCCTGGTGTGACCCACAGGTGATGGGGGTGATGGGATTTGTGCTTTGACTGGCTCTTGAATATCTCTGAGCTGGCCCTGATTGCATCCCAGCACTGCCAGCTGCCTCTTGGCCATCATTTGCACATCCTGTCACTGGATGCTTGTGCATTTTCCTCCAATCCAGTCTCTTCCTTCTAGCCTTCCTCTCTGGTGTCCTGCCACCTAGTGCTTCCTCCACAGTCCTTGACAAGCACCAGGAACTGCCTCTGCTTGCCAGTATACAGCTTCCTACATGTTGCAGGAAGAGATAGGCTGTCACATATGTTTATTAAGAAGTATTTAATTAATTCAAATTAGCTAATTTAGAAAAATTGTTAATGTTTATTAAGGAAGAATGATTAGTCCCTGTATTTGAGAAGTGATATCCCTGAAGATATGTTCAGATGGCATAATTAACCATACATTTTTGCTATGGAAAATTCAGATTTTGGTTTAGAAAGGTGTGCTTTGGTTTGATTTGGGTTTTTTAGCATAGAAGTTCTACAATATTTATATAAAATTTCCAGAGGAAAGTTATTTTCTGTCTGAACCTTCAGAATACCCCCATGCCTAAGAGTGAGGCTATGGATGCTCATTATGAGTGTAGATGCTGTTTGGACCAGTCTGAAGACAGACAAATGCCCTAATTGTACTTCAGTCGTGCTGCTGTTTGTTACAAAATCCTCAGGACTCTGGAGAAGCTGCTGACGTGATCATACTGTAACCCAGTTCTGGCTCAGTTTTCATTGGCTAGCAAAGCATTTAGAATCCTTGCATTAACCTGGCTTCCTTGGCTGGACTGATTTACTGAAGTCCCCAACTGTTGACATATCACCTGATCTACTGCAAAAGACCAGATTTATTAACCTGTATTTTTTATACATTTTTAAGAGCCTTTCAAGGACTGATGCTGTCCAGCAGTGAGCAATAGTGCACTTAGAAACATTGAATTAGGTAACTGTTGACATAATTTTGGGTCTGCAGTCTGAAATACAGACCTTATGGATTGTTGCAATTTTCATAACAGCCATAAGAGTTTACACAGAAGTAGCAGTATGACTTCAATTAAACAACAGTTTTTATTACAACTAAAGGAGGTGGCAGAATGATAAATCTTATTGGATTTCAGTTGGAAGAACAGTCTTTGGTAATGCTTAACAGTTTTTCTCTGTATGCAAAACCCACACAAAATACAACGCTCACTGCTAGCTGACTAGTAAAATCATAGTAGTGAATAAAAGTGTAGATTTGAGGGGGCATTTTTTAATTCTAGGGAACAAAAAAAAGTTTCTCTATCACCTCTCCAAGACTGTCAGTAGCAGTAATATGATGCTTTAGCCAGGTCACTTATTTACTGGTTTTAAGTTTGGGCTTACAAACAGTGAACAAGGTGCATAGCATGAGCAGGCACAATCTGAGAGGATAAATAGGTTATCACAGCCACAGCAAAAAAGTCTTTCATGGAAGAGTATACCATTCTTGTTTCATTTTAGAAGCCAGAATTTCTGTTTACCATTACTAGAAGCTCCAAAACAGAAAAGTCTAAGTGAGCACACTAGAAATTATTTTCTACCATTGAGCTTTCACTCTAAACGTGGAGACAGAGGGAAACCCTAAAGATCTGACAAAAGCACACACAGTCAGGTAAAATGGCAGTGAAGCTTGGAGGGGGACCTATGCTGCTAGAAAGGATCTGACTGGATTTCAGGATAATTCAGAAAATAAAGGAACATGGCATGAGTTTTTCAGCTAGTTAGAATTTTATCTACATTTTATTTAGATAGAGGTAGTGAAGCCAAAATACTGCTTTTAAAGGGTTCTTATCCATTGTTACTCTTTTTAAATTACATTGTAATGAGATAGAAAACTTATTTGGAGAGAGCATGAAAAGAGATGCAAACTAAACAAATGTCAAAAATCACTGTTAATAACTCAGCCTGTGAGGTTTCCTTCACCTTTTTCTGCACAAAGTTTCAGTCTATGATTTCTGAGAATTATTTTTTCTTTTTCCCTTCTTGTCTCCCACCATTTCTCCAGGCTGGGATTACAAAAACCATTGGTGTTCACTTTATTTATCAGTTTTGCAGAAACAGAATTCTATTATTTTTATGGTAGCAGAGTTACCTGAGTATATGACAAGTTTGGTTCTACTGAGGACACATAGCTCATACTCTCAGACTGGATGGTAAAAATGGGTAGAGATGGTTTGGTTTTAAATATGCAGCTTTTTCCATGCTAAACTTGATAACTGAGGTAAAGAATGGCAAGTAGAAAGGGAATGTTCAGCAATCAAGTTTCACCATCACATCAGATGGTTTAATACCATCACACAGCCTCAGAGTGCATTTTGTTCATCACTCATAAGGTTTGGCATGATCCTGCCTGACCTGCTTGAGAGGAGGCTGAAACGATACCATACAGCTCCCATTTTGTTGCCAAAAGCTAAAACAGCCTCTTAAGGAGCAGGAATTCAGAACATGACTGTCAGTTCTGGCAAGACTTGAAGCTGCTAAAGATTTTGCAGGAAGGTGGTTTGGTACAGGGTGCAGTGCAGCTCCCTTCACACCTTGGAGCAGCACAGAAAGCTGGCAGGGTCTCACACAAAACTGCCTGCAAAGGCACATAAAAGCCACCAGAGTCAGCTCCATAAGGATAAATCCCTAATGGGACAATAAGATACTTGTGCAACACCATAGACTAGCCTTCCTCCCTCATTCCTGAAGTATTCTTAAGGTCTCTCTGAGGAGTACAGCAGGTTTTTAATTCAGCGACTTTACCATCAAAACTCATTTTAAAGGAAGGCAGTTTATTCTCAGAGCCTAATAGAAACTACTATTTAAAATGCTTATAGACTCCCCATTAAATTAGTATCAGAT